AACTCTAGACTTTAGGATAGCAGACTTCACAAAGATCTGAGAAAATATAGGCATGAATTCCACTGCAAGAGTTTCTAAAAGGAAAGACGATTTAAGAGGGTTGGGAAGCTCTTAAAACTACAAATCTGATTATATAATTACAAATCATTCCAGTGAAGAAGCCAATGTGGCTTTTTAAGTATCCTGGATGAGAGTCTAGTACTAAATATTAAAAGTATTGTTGTCATGCATAACAAAAAGCAGTGATCCCTAAAAGCCAGCAAGGGTTCATAAAGAACAGATTACCTTCAGGTTTTTGATAGCATTATAGGACTAAGATTCACGAAAATGTGGTAGATGTGATGTATAGAGATGAACAAGGCTCAACTGAGATCTCTCACGACAATTCTAAGAACAAGATGAAAAATAACTTTCTAACAACTAGAGGTTTCCAGTGCTGTAATACTCTTTGGGCTCCCATTAACTGGAGGCACCAAAGTGCCACTAGGGGTGCCAGAGAAGTGATGCTTACACCGAAGGGGACACAGGATTGATGGCCTCCTTAAGTCCCCTTCCAAAGCTACTGAAATTATATAGTATTCTATTAATGTGTGCGTTCTATTTAATCTTTTTGTTAAAGATTCTAAATTTAGGGTTTTCTACCTGAGTTTATATACTGGCTGTATGCTGCTATCAAGTGTTGATTTTGAAATCATAGAACCTTGGTTCTCATCACTTTCTATTCCAAACTCCTTCTCCTGCGTTTTCTAGCTTGATTTATGGTGCAACATCTTCCTAGTCAACCTGGTTGAAGATCTTGGGGTTCTCAAATCATTTTCATCTACCCATCTGACCAGCCAGCAAACATTCACTGAGCATCCTTGTCCTAAAGGAGCTCATGGCCAAATAAATAATTTACATAAGTAATTACAATACAAACAGACAAGAGCTATGATAATTAACGTATTATGGTATTTTAGAAACTACGGGAGCACCCAGGAGGGAGGATTCATAGTCAGGGAACATTTTTCTAGTGGACAACTGAGTTAAGTTTAAAACTGAGTATTTCACCAAAAAAACCCTGGGGAGAGGAGAAAGCCACTGCTGGGAGAGGAAGTACAGTGTGCGAAAGTTTGGAGCTATGAACAAACATAGTCAGCTTGGGAAACGGCAAGCAATGAGGCATAAGTGAAGGGAACGGCAGGAGCCGAGGTTGCTCTCAGTGATTTGTGGTTAAATGCCATCATCATCTACCCAATCACCCAAGTCGGAAGTCTGCAAGTTTATCCAAGATTTTGTCCTCCTTCATGCCCCGTTGCCAGGTGGTCATCATGTCTGGGAGAACTACCTTCTTCATCTCCCCTGAATCTTTTCACTCCTCTTGTCCCCATCCCCTCTGTCTTACTGCAAAGACCTATTATGACTGCTTGCTTCCAGTCATGGCCCTACTCATCCACTCTGCACTCTCTGTCAGAGTGATCTTTTAGCAAAGAGGCTTCCGTTCTCCAAGAAACGATCCTGGATTTCCCCTTTCACCCACTTCCTCTAAAATTCCAGAAAATTATTTTATTCCTATGGAAGAACTTGCACCATTCTGCTCTGTACTACAGTTAGAGCTCAAAGAGACAGGCCATTCGATCTACCTGCTTTATCCACACTCCTTCCCAGAGAGTCGAGTCCCACAGTCCCTGCTAATTGGGCAGTGGGTCGTGGGACCTGGGACCTCTACCTCTGGTTAAAACTACTGACCAGGGCAAATAACTGTTTCAAGCTAGACCAATAAGATTTTCTAACCTAGAAATTCTATGCTGTAATCTAGACTTCAGTACGTGACCTGCAGGGGACTTGCAGTGCCATTTTGGGGCCTTGAATGCTATTGAGCAGGTAGACGGCCACTGTGTAGAGAGAAGCAGAATAAATACAGCTCACATGCAGAAAGGGGCAGAGAAAACACACCATGTGGTGGCTAGGCTGGTCAGGGTGGTTGGGAGAAACTGTGATTCCTTTGCTGCCTTGTTAGTTATGAGTTCCTCAGGAGACCTGCCTCCATTTCCTGCCCTGGGTTTTAGGAGAACCACCAGTTTCATATATAAATCCCCACGTTTATTTAAATTTGCTCAAGTAGGATTCCATTTCTTAGAATCAAATTAATCCTATAACATTTATGTACAAGTCCTTCTGCATTAGGCTATAATTTCCTTGCATAAAGAAACCATAAAAAAAAAAGAGAAAGAAACCATAGCTTGTTTACCTTTGTATGTCTCACATAATACAGCCTAGTAACTGACACACAATTGATCAACGCCTGTCTCATAAACTGAATTTAATTACAAAAGAAGTAAATGACTTTGGACATGAATAATTAGTAGCAATTACATTGGCAGAAGAAGTTCAGTACTTTTTTTTTTTTTTTTTTGTGAAGCGATCAGCCCTGTGCTAACATCTGCCAATACTCCTCGATTTTTGCTGAGGAAGACTGGCGCTGGGCTAACATCCGTGCCCATCTTCCTCCACTTTATATGGGACGCTGCCACAGCATGGCTTGCCAAGCAGTGCGTCAGTGCGTGCGGGGGATCCGAACTGGCGAACCTCAGGCCGCTGCAGCGGAGCGCACGCACTTAACCACTCGCGCCACCGAGCCGGCCCCAAGTTCAGTACTTTTAAGAGTAGAGTGTAGGGGCAGGGAAGAATTTCAGAAGGAAGCCACCTTGGCTAAATTCGGTTTTCAGCCACAGTTTCTGTGGAAACTAACCACACACACTCATACCCATAGCAAGTACTACCTTCACGCTCCTGGTCAAAACCTGACAAAGATGAGAGAGCAAACCCAGGCAGTCATAGCACAGCATGTTCTGACTAGAAAACAGTGACCTCAGTTCCTAAAGATCAGTAACTGATAGCCAGAACAAAAGGGCAAGGCGACCACCAACACGCTCAACAGCTGCAGCCTGCACCCCTCAGAGACAGACGTCATCTGAGAACTTCATCGTGAAAACCTGCCACATGCTATTTCTTACGATAAATTTTTTTCACAAAGATTTTAAAAGGTATACTTCCACAAAAGACAGTTTTAATGTCTTTATAGTAAGGTAGATAAAAAGTTAGCAGTTTTCCACCTAAGTATGAGAATCTTCAAATTTTTTTATTGTGTAAAGTACATGATTAATATATGGTTATTATCTTTAAATATTCTTTCTTTAGATTCAGCAAATGTCCTTGCTGCTTCAAAGGCCCGACTCCTTTTTCGATTATTGTTGTACTTTACCCACAAGAAAAGCGTTCTTGATGAAGTAATGGCTCAGCTGTAAAAAAGGAACCTGCCAGGCCTCTCAAGCAATAAGAGAAACTCACACCATGAAGATTTCCTGACTACACCCTTACGACTTGAAAACTAAGGAGGCAGTCCAATCAAGTACACACAATGGGATACAACAGAAGGGCAGATAAAAGACAAGGCTGGATTTCCTGCTTTGATGTGAAAGTCTTTCCTTTTCACTGCTAAGCAGAGTGTGGCAGGCACAATCAACAGGGACCAGGTGGCACAGCTATTATCGGGCCTTTTGAGTTGATGGTGAGAAACTGGCAAGCCTCTGAGAAGGACTATTTAGGGCTCAAGGGGTTGACGTCACTTTTGGATAATGAGTTAGGCTTAAAAATGATGACATTGCAATCATACCACTTGAGAGCAAAAAAGAAAGTGCAACTGTTCCTGGACGGCTCTGAGATCATATAAATCACACTGATCTTCATATCACTGAAAAAGGGGCACAAGATAGCATTTCTTAAATCACATTAGGTATGACACACAGATTTGACTTGGCTTACTTTGCTAGGCATAAGAGGCTAAGTATAGAATAAACCTGATAAAAGCGGCATACTGTGGCCATCCATTCAATGCTGGCACTCATACCCATAGAACATTCCCAGGAGGGTCCATCCTGTACAAGTTAGATGACCAACAAGCAAGTCACCAAATTGGATTAAAAGTAAATGTCAGGGGTCGGCCCTGTGGCTTAGCAGTTAAGTGCGTGCACTCTGCTGCTGGCGGCCCGGGGTTGGGATCCTGGGCACGCACCGACGCACTGCTTCTCCGGCCATGCTGAGGCCACGGCCCACATACAGCAACTAGAAGGATGTGCAGCTATAACATACAACTATGTACTGGGGCTTTGGGGGAAAAATAAATAAATAAATAAAAATTAAAAAAAAAACAAGTAAATGTCAGAACAAACTCTCTTCTAGCTTATATGCCTTTATTTTTATTTCCTGTGAAGCATAAACCAGACAGCATCCATAATAAAGGGGTAAAGATACAGCTAAAACTTAATATTGTTCTTCTTTCAAAATGAATACCAATGGTAAGAAGAAAGGCACAGAATTTGATCAAACAGCCGGATCCAGCAGTTTCTTCAGATAAAAATGAAGTAGCTATCCATGATGCCTGTGACTACATAATTTATGTTTAAGTTAGATTGGTTTCTGGAAGCTTCCATAAAAACATGGTCCCCTTTTCCTGCCTACAGCAGTATAATTTAGTTTTTAACGCCATAAGTGAAACCTCTGAAGATCAATATCAAAAAGCACATCATTCAAACATATCTTCTTATTCATATGTTAAAGCATGGGAAACTGGGGTTCTCTGAACATGCCTGGAATTTTGCATATTTTAACACGAGTACCTGAAAGCAGGAGTCTGATTGTTTGATGCACTGAATTCTTTCCAGTTCACAAGTACAAATGGGATTCACAACATAACAGGAATTAAGTAGAGGCTGAGAATGTGCTTATATTTTATGTCAAAAAACAAAAAAGGTGATTTGCCTGGCAATTCAAGGAATCTATAGGTGAACAATTGAGGTAGTAGCTAAGGGCAATTTCTTAAGAACTAGGACCAAAATATGCCAAGTACCCATGCTTTAATAAAGAAATAATAATTAAAATACACAAAAAAGTTTACCTAAAGGCCACCTAAACCGAGTTCTATCTGAGATCTGTGGGTTTTCCTGCCAGATATCACCTACCCCAGGGCAAAATTGCTGTCCTCCTTCCAGTCCATGATGCGGCAGATGAACAGCGTGTTGGCATAATCCTTAGGCCGCGTCACAAAGTCCTGGGGACAGTCCTTGAGAGGCACATAAATTCTAGGCACTCGGTGGTCCGAGGGAGAAAACAATGCATATTTCCTAAACAGTTCACTGTTCTTATCAGCCAAGAGTTTGAGGAAGCCAGTTGCTGCTCGAGAATGTTTTTTCTCCACGATGTAAACCACCTGAAAACACCAAAGATACAGTGAATGCTGTTTATATATAGGACCAAATAACAGTTGAGAGAAGTCAGGAGGATATTATCTGGTCAACTAGCTGATCCAGCAGTTTTTCTAGGTCCAAATGAAGTGCCTCTCACTGATGCTCTGTGACTAAGTAATCTACATTTAAATTGCAACAATTTTATGCATTGAGCACATATATCCAAGGAAAAACTACACAATACATGGATGAATTAGACGAAAGTGCTTTTATAACCAAGACCTCTGTCTTTAGGAGCTATGTAAGACTCCATCAGGGAAGCATGGCTCCACGCATTTGTTCTGCATTACACTCTTCTCACATGAACTATACCGGTATCTCACGTGAACACAGTAGTTTCTTTTTAAAAAATGCTATTAAACATAAATAAATAACTGCTCTTTATTATGCCTTCAAAAGCTGAAATCTTTTAACCCTCTTTCTTTCCAAGATTAAACTCAATCTCTCATTTCACCAGGTGAAGATTCAGGCCACCACACCACTATAAGTACATGCTATGTCCACCAAGAGAGAAGCATTCTTGAAAGTGAATCTTCTCCTTCACCCACCTTGGGAAGTCATTCTTCCTAAACTGTTTCCTTCTGCCACTGTAGACAGTCTGTAGTTTCACCCCTTCATTGGAATTACCTGCCAACATTCTACTTAGGCCCCTGAGCAAAGGTTCAGACTGCTGTTGAGCTGGCAGCTCCTCCTGTTCATGTCTCTGACTCCACATGGGGTTTCAGCCTACCTCCCTAGAACCTCCAAACCAGGGAGCGCACCTCACCTCTCCCCCAGGCTATTGGCTATTACCCCACAGGAAAGTGCCTTGGGGCACCTGTCTTCTCTCTAATCTCAGTCCCACCACTATATGCTCTACTTTCTTCCTAACTCTTCCTTCCTCCTTGGAAAACACCATTCTATTCTGAACAAGCTGCTGTGCCCACTTTCGGCTTGCCTGTCAGAAAGACTCTGTCTGTTCCAGCCCCTCTGGGCAGAGACTGCTCCTTCTCCCATACAGAGCCCCTGAATGATGTGTCCATGTTTTCCTGTGTTGCACTATCACATCTAAACCATTTACTCTTCTAGCGTCATGCATATATCTGCACCCTTTTATGGTTCAGGCTGTCCCCTTCTTGTTACTGTCATCCACTGACCTCCTGGTGACTCTGCGATACCTGGCTTACAGTCTGCCTCTCCCACCTTCATCTAGGCGAATGACTCAGCCAACATCTTCTCCTTACAGTTCTTATATCTCTTCAATGCTGGTGGCCTTCACTTCCATTGGATTTCAGCAACTCATCCTCATAGCCACATCTCAGTATCATCTGGAAGTGGTCCAATCCCGATCACCTCAGACTGACCCATTGTCCAGCTCTCTTCCTCTCCTGTGCCCCTCCACAGGCTTTTTCACCACATCAAGACTACTAGTGCCTTGACTCTTGCTTGTTTTCTCTGTCTGTTAGCTACTTAGCCTTGAATCCTTTCCTACCTCCGAGAGACACCGAGTTCCATCACTTCAATCCTCTTACCTGTGTCGTCAAATGACTCACCCCTCTTGTCCTTCCACTGCACCAACCCTAAAAATCCTCAATTCTGGAGCAATTCAGCCACTGATATTCTCTAACATTAAATGCAAGCTATTGAGTCCACCAGAAAAAAAGAAAATTACAATTATACAAGATGGATACCATTACACACTAACGTTACACAACTGTTAATAGGACCTCAAAACCTCTAAGTTTTTTTTCACCTGGTCCCACTCAACACAATCTATTCTTTAAGCCCCACTCTCTTGATCCTCTCCTTCGGGGACTCCAGTTATTTGAACGTTGAATCTTTTTTATTGTCCCACAACTTCCTGAGGCTCTGTTCATATTTTTCAGTCTATTTTCTCTACATTCAGATTGGGTAAATTCTATTGATCTGTCCTCACGTTAACTAATTCGTTTTTTTTTTGTTTTTTTTTTCCCCCCAAAGCCCCAGTAGATAGTTGTATGTCATAGCTGCACATCCTTCTAGTTGCTGTACGTGGGACTCGGCCTCAGGATGGACGGAGAAGTGGTGCCTTCATGCGCACCCAGGATCCGAACCCGGGCCACCAGCATTGCAGAGCGCGCACTTAACCACCAAGCCACAGGGCCGGCCCACGTTAACTAATTCTATGCTGAGTCATCTCTACTTACTATCAAGCCCCTCCAGCAAGTATTTTATTTCTGTTACTATATTTTTCAGTTCTATAAGTTCCATTTGGTTCTTTTTTTTATAACTTTTATTTCTTTACTGAGGTTTTCTATTTTCTTTTTTGTTTCAAGAGAATTTTTAATTGCTTGTTGAAGCACATTTATGATGGCTGTTGTAAAATCATTGTTAGATAACTGCAACATCTTGGTATTGGCATCATTTAGCTGTCTTTCATCACTCAAGTGGTGATTTTCTATTGTAACCTAGATACAATAGGAGACTCAAGGTCTTATTTAAATCTTTTCTTTTAGAAGGCAGTCACCCTGCCAAGGTTTGGCATGCAGGTCCTGGACTACTTTTGTGGGCTGTAGTTAAAATGACAATTTAATTTGCAGAGCCTTTGCAGTGCTATTTTGATACGTTTGGTTGACATGGTGCCACTGGGATTCCCACTGGTCTCTGCTGGTACTGCCTGAGGGGGTGGAAGGAACTTCCTCAGGCCTGGCCACCTGGTCTCTCTAGCATGGATGAGAAACAAATTCTAATCCATGTCCATGCAGGGACAAAGAAACTTCCCGTTGGTGGATTTTTGTTGTTAGGACCCCTTTTACTGGTGGCTACTCGGCTGCCCAGCGTCTCCGGGTAGGAGAGGAGTATCTCAGGCCCACCAAGATAAGGAAGTTTCCTGGACCACACACCTGTTGTGGTAGGATCTCCCTTGCTAGTACCATCTGCCTGCCAGGTGTCTCTGGGTGGGGAAGGGGAGTCTCAGGTCCACAGGAACAGAGAGGCTTCTGAGGGTAGGCCACTCCTTTGGCAGGATCCCCGGTGTCAGATCCACCCAGATGCTAGTGTCTCTTGGTAGGGGAGAAAAGTCTCAGGGATGGCAGGAAAGCAGGGCCCTTCTCCTGGCCACTTATCATCAGCGGGGCTCCCAGTCAACTCCTCTTGCAGGTGCTGCTGGGATTGCCTGGTGCTGTCAGAGGGCCTTCTGTTAGATACAAGTGAGGAACAAGTCTGCCTGGGCCACCTTGTATTGCTAGGTTGGGATCCAGAAACACTGGGCCTGGGTCCATTTTTGTTGGTGGGGGGGGTTGTAAAGTCCCCTGCTGCTATGTTGTTCCTCTAGTCTTGAAACCCCTAACTAGTTTGCCTTCCTCTTTTCACCTTTCAGAATTATCTTTTGGTTATCTCTTGTTTTTTTCCAGGGTTTATAGTTGTACCTAGTGGGGAGGAGCACTGAGAAACAAGCCTACGCCGTCTTGTCTGAACCAGAAGTCCTTGCTTCTTGTTTTAACATTTGACAGCATAAGAAGTGTATAAAATAGCTTGACATTACTCATGATTCACACGTTAGTTGTCCTAGAAATGACTTTACAATAGCATAAGTTTCGCATATAAGTACTGTTTTGCCTTGTAATTTTAGATTAAATTCATTAAGAAACCCACCCCCCACCCCCAAAATAAAACCAGCAAGAGAGAGGGCACCATTGGGGGGCAGTAGCAAATTACAGAACACAAGTCCCATCTACAGAGGGTTGCCTCTACTCAGCCCTGACTAAAGTCATTTAAAAGAATGTGGCCCAGGGCCGGCCCTGTGGCTTAGCGGTTAAGTGCGCGCGCTCCACTACTGGCGGCCCGGGTTCGGATCCCGGGTGCGCACCGACACACCGCTTCTCCAGCCTTGCTGAGGCCGCATCCCACATACAGCAACTAGAAGGATGTGCAGCTATGACATACAACTATCTACTGGGGCTTTGGGGAAAGAAAAGGAGGAGGATTGGCAATAGATGTTAGCTCAGAGCCGGTCGGGAAAGAAAAGGAGGAGGATTGGCAATAGATGTTAGCTCAGAGCCGGTCTTCCTCAGCAAAAAGAGGAGGATTAGCACGGATGAGAGCTCAGGGCTGATCTTCCTCACAAAAAAAAAAAAAAAAAAAGAACGTGGCCCAACGTTGCCAGATGTTTTGTTTTATCAAGAGAAGCCAGAAGTCTGATTTTCTTAGGTGAACGCTCTCATTTTTTTTTTAATGTAAGCTGTGAAGTCAAAACTTGTAAATACTGCACAGGTCAAACAAAACACAAGTTTGTGAGCCAGATCCAGCCCACAGGCTTTCCATGCATTATAATCTTCCACACCTAACATGCTGCCTGGTATATGGTTAGTATTCAAAATGCCTATTAAAATAAAGATCTAGATAACTGGATGGGCAAAGGGGGGGGTAACATATATGTAATATAATTTATAAATTCCTCATGTCAATATGGAGGAGATACTCTCCTAACCAGCTTGCTAGACTGAGTGGCAATACTGCAGTCCCACGTTAAACATGCTGATGGATGCCTCTGGTAGAGGAAGCCTCATGCTATTACGCCACTTCATTCTTTGCCCTTGTACCACTTCTTCCACCACGAGCTATTTGTATAGCTAGGGTCAGCTGTGTTTGATCCCATATCTGAATATGCCACTAGCATATATAATTAAAAAATAAAATTGAGGGGCTGGCCCTGTGGCATAGTGGTTAAGTTCACGCGCTCCGCTTCGGCAGCCCGGGGTTCACAGGTTCAGATCCCGGGTGCGGACCAAGGCACCGCTTGTCAAGCCATGCTGTGGTGGCGTCCCATATAAAGTGGAGGAAGATGGGCACAGATGTTAGCCCAGGGCCAGTCTTCCTCAGCAAAAAGAGGAGGATTGGCAATGGATGTTAGCTCAGGGCTAATCTTCCTCACAAAAAATAAACCAAAATAAAATTGAACTATGCAAAACAACAAAAACAGGATGCAAAAGCAATTGTTTTTGTTTCTGTGATAACTAATTAAATACTTTGGATAAAAATTAAAAAGACTTATTAAAAACTTATTTTGGAATTAGCTATGGGCATGACAACAATAAAAAAACACTAGAGCAAAAAACTGCAAAAATCCAGGAGTCTATATTCATGTTGCTTCACCAGTATCTAAATTCTCACTCCACTTTAAATAATCGAAACTGGAAATCACAGATGTCACATTACAAATGTGGTTGAAGCAGAAAGAGATAATACAAAACTTCAATAAACATACCCACACTCATAGAAAAGGCCTTGGCCCTTCATCCAAAGACAGGCCAATGAATACATATGTATACATTTAAAGTTAAAAAAAGATTCACTTTTTATGATTCCCCGCTTCCACTGACTTTTCTGATTAACTAACCAACTATGGTCCTAACTGAATCACATAAGAGACCTTCAACAGGTAGCTCAGGTGACAGCCATTTGGACAAATGGAGAAAATCTGTAGGCAATGACCTTTGCCGATCTTTGCAGTGACTTCTCTGGTAAAGCTCTTGTGTCCTGTGCCATGGAGGTGGTCTCATCTTTTGTAACTGGTGCACCAGCATCCTCTTTTCCTAAATTAAAAAGAGAGAAGAGGAGGAATCAGTTAGATGCATATTATTACGCTTACAGACTCATGGGATTTTTCAGTTCAGAGCTGCAAGGATTCTTGGATACTGTTTATCCCATTTTTACTGTTTACCCCATTTTTACTGTTTATCCTCATTTTACAGAAAAGGAAACCCAGGCCCACGGTGGTTAGGTGACTTGGCTCAGGTCAATCACATCACCAACTTGTAGTAATGCTCACACTCAGCTGGCCACATTTTATGTTTAACATTATTCATATGCTAAGCATCATACAAGCAGAGAGCATCAAACTATGTTGAATTAAACTGAATAGCCTATGTGTCAAAATGCAAAAGAAAACTAGATGTTAAATACTGTCCCAGCTCACAATGAAGAATAGATAGGTTAATTTATGATGCGCATCTGTTGAAATATAACAAAATCAAAATAAACATTAACTTTTAAAAGTACTTTAGTACCAGCCATAACAAACAACATAGTGGAAAATAGATTAAATTTATTAAATAAATAAATAAGCCAACTCTGATTTTCCTCGCTTTTCTTAGTGATATTATATAAAGGGTAAAGTACTTAAAGTCTTTTAATGTTTAATTTCCATTCTCAAAAAACTTATAAAATTCACCCAAGAAACTGAAACATCTCCCTAGTAAAGAGGGAGTTAGGCTCTGTACCAGAAGTATTAAAACCGCTCATGAACAAAGGCAGCAAATTACACACTTCTGGACATTTACTATTCCACGTGTTCATGTTACATTAGATTTCCCCCACAAAATATTCTTATCCAACAATACTAGAGTTTCTGGATTCTAGGGGTCACAACCAATTCATATGGGACCCATTCCAGATAACTAAGAGAGACCTGTACTTATCATCATTTCGACATTACCAAGGCCAAAATAAATAAATAAATCCTTTTCAGGACTGGCTGCCTCTTAGCAAAGGCTCAGCATACAGCCAAATTTTACCATTCTGGGTGTTCTCTGGAAACACTGACATGATCTGACCTACTGGGGCTTAAGAATGATCAACTCTTTGCTTTTTCATCTATGCTGAAATATATCTATCATAGTGTCCACTGAAAGCAGAATTCTGTTTTCCAAAAAGAGAAAACAAACGAAAACTTTCCCACTGTTGATCACCCCGTCCATCAGTAAAAGAGAGACATCATCCACATTCATCTTTTATTTTAGACCATAGTTCAGAATTCCAAAATCATCAGATGCTTCCAGAACAACATCTTTTATACTCTTATGGAGAAAAAAACCACACAAGTTGTTGACTTGTTCCATAACATATCTTGCCAATGTGTTCTGCAGAACAAGGTAATTTAGGAAAGATTAGGAGGCTGAAATTACCATGAACAAGTACACTCTACCTAGACATCCGATATCCTTTGAGTTTTTGGTCTCAGGAGCTGGCAATCAAGACAGGGTAGTGAGGGTTTTTCCATGGCAGCCCAAATCCTGGGCATGCAGTTCTCTGTGATGGTCATCGATAGCTCCATCTTAAAATGATTGTTGCTTTAGATTCCATCCCAACAGCAAACAAGTCTTCTGTTCCAAAAGTTACACCAGGTTGCATCCAAAGAAAGAGGGCAAGCCAGGAAGTGGGCCCAATCATGATTTTCAGATATCACACCTGAGCATGACCTTTTTAGGTTCTGTGTTGTTCATAAGGAAATCCTGGCAGGAACAAGGCTTTGTTCAGACAAAGACGCATTCTGATAAATTAAAACTGAAGTTTATAGCTCTGCAGGTGAGCATCACAGATATGTTCAATGAATGTGAAGAAACACAATGCCAGGTTAGAAGGGTGAAACACTTTAATAGGTTTCCAACAACTACGTCTTGCCACCCTGAATAGTAAAGTTGTCAATTTAATGAGAGAATCTACTGCATTGTTTAATCACAAGATCATTTATTTATTCATTTATTCCATGTGTATTTATTGAGCAATGGGCACTGAAGATTCAGCGGTGAATAAAAGAAATATAGTCCCAGTCCTTATGGAACATATACTTTAATGTGAGAGTGATATTCAATAAATAATCTAAGATGAATACTAGGAAGGAAAGAACAGTTCCAAGGAGGACTAGGAGAGAACACATGATTTAGATTAAGAGGTCAGGGAAAGGCCCTGTGTGGAAGTGACATTTAAGCCGAGACATGAGGATGGTGTGTACAGGAGTGAAGAAGGGGACAAGAGACCCTGTGTGGGGAATGGCACTTGGGAAGGGACGGAGGTAGGAAGTTCTTGGTACAATCAAGGAACAGAAAGAAGACTATGTGGCTCGAGCACAGTGAGCAAGAATGGGTGTGGCAAGAGATGAGAATGAGAGGTAGACAAGAGTCAGGTCAGGTGGGACCGCTTAGGATTTAAGAATCCTGAATTTAAACTTAAATACAATGGGAAGCTGGCTAAGGATTTGTTCAATAAAGTGACTTTGCCCGAGGTGGAGATAAGAGCAGGCTAAGAAGGGATACAGCCAGCCCTGTGTGGTCTAGTGGTTAAGATTCAGCACTGTCACTGCTACAGCCCAGGTTCGTGTCCTGGTCAGGGAACCCTAACACTCATCTGTTGGATGTCATAGTGTGGCGGCTGCGTGTTGCTGTGATGCTGAAAGCTATGCCACTGGTATTTCAAATACCAGCAGGGTCACCCACAGTGGAGAGGTTTCAGCAGAGCTTCCAGACTAAGACAGACTAGGAAGAAGGACCTGGCCACCCACTTCCAAAAAAACTGGCCATGAAAACTCTATGAACAGCATCAGAGCACTGACTGATATAGTGATGGAAGGTGAGAAGATGGCACAAAAAGACCAGTCAGGGTTCCACTCTGCTGTACAGGTGGCTAGGAGACAAAATTGACTTGAGGGCACTGAACAACAATAAGAGGGGATGTAGGGAGACCAGTTAAGAGCTACTGCAGTAGCCCAGACACGAGAGGATCATGCTATGATGCAGGCATTGGAGATGGAATTAAAAGGATCAATTTAAGACATATTTTGGAGCTGAACTAATAGACTTTGGTGGTAATTAGATATGAGAGTTTAAGGATTATTAGATATGAGAAGTGAAGGGTTATTTCCAGCTTTCCAACATCTACAGCTAGGTTGATGGAGGCATCATTCCTGGCACAGAAAAGACTAGAGGAGGAAATCAAGAGTTCTATTTCAAAGGTGGTTCTATTTAAGAGGCCTGTGAAACCTTCAAGTGACGATGCTGAGTCCGCAGTTCAACATGAAGGTCTGAAACTCAGAAAAAGAGATCTGGGCTGTGGTTTTAAACACAATTTATGTGCTGAGAACTTCCATATTATACTTTCCCGCCCAAGCTGCAGAGAAGAGATTCAAACCCAAATCTGTTCAACTACTAAGTTCATGAAGCTCTTCCACTGCTACATGCTCAAGTAAGAAGTAATGTGCTGTCATTGTTAAGGAAATAAGAAAAATTCACTGAGGAAGTGACTTGGGGTTTGAAGGATGTATAGATGATTTGAAGAGAGAGAAGGAAGTTGAAGGGCATTCCAGGTAAAGGCAAGCATTTGTGCAAAGGCCCAGAGCTGTGAAATGGCCTGACATGGTGAAGGACTAGTAAGAGATTTATTGTAGCTACTAACAGGTTGAGGACCCAAGTGCTGGGCAGGAAGGGACTGGGATGGGAAGAGGAACAAGGCTGGAGGAGAGGTGGGATAGGTCCTATGGCACAGACTGGTTACTGCCCAATTATCTATTCTCTTCTCTCCTAGTAATAAGAACTCCAATGTTTAGCTGGGTATACTAATTAAAAGCCTACATTCCTCAGCCTTCTTGCAACTAAGCATGGCCTGCATGTCCAAGTTTTAGCCAATAAGATTCAGATTGAAGTGTTGTAAGCAACTTCCAAGAAGTGTCCTTAAAGTCTAGAAACTCAGCCTTTCCTCTCTCTTCCTTCTTGCTGGCTAGAATGTGGATGTGATAGCTGGACCTCAAGCACTCATCTTGGTCCTGGAGGCCACAGGACAAGGGTGCTTTCTACTGTGCAGAGCAGCACAACAGAATGACCTGAAGACTACGGAACTATCCTAAGAGCGCTGGCCTGCCTACCTCTGGTCTTCTTTTATGTGAGACAGAAATAAACTTCCTTTTTTTTTTTTTTTTTTGTGAGGAAGATTAGCCCTGAGCTAACATCTGTCACCAATCCTCCTCTTTTTGCTGAGGAAGACTGGCCCTGGGCTAACATCCGTGCCCATCTTCCTCCACTTTATACGGGATGACGCCTCAGCATGGCTGGACAAGCGGTGTGTCAGTGCACGCACAAGATCCAAACCCAAGGCCGCTGCAGCAGAGCACACGCACTTAACCGCTACGCCACCAGGCTGGCCCCAGAAATAAACTTCTTTCTTGTCTAAGTCATTGATACTTTAGGATTTAATGCCACTCTCAGCAGAATATACTTGCTAACATATAGGTCTAGATGATGAACTGACAAGCTTGGACACTATCCTAAAAAGCATTATAAAGGCAAGGGACACACACTTTTTAGGGCTGTGAATTTGGTAGCACTCTGGAGTGGAGAGACAATAACAGCAGAGATTTTAGAAAGCCGGGGTTGCAGTCTAGGTGAGACACAATCAGAATCTGAATTACAAGAGTGGCAGTGAGAGTGAACAGAGGCAAGATTTGAGAGATATTTCTGAGAAGGATGCTGCTAAGTGTGTCTCCACTGCTATGAATGACTTAGTATATGAAAAATGGCCTTAAATTAAATGAGTTTTTGATTGAATATCAGGAAGAATGCCTTGACAGAGCAATAAAACTCCATGATGAAATTACTAGAATAAGGCAGAGGTGTTGGCAGTCCTCAACAAGGGTAAAGGTTACGTGTCCTCATAGCCCTCAGTTTTGCCATACCAAAGGCAAAGCTGGCCCATGCATTCTGTGATCCCTTCTAGTGCAAAAAATTCTAGAAACTGGTCACTACCAAAATCTCCATCTAAAAGAGAG